GGCTGGCTGGGGAATTCTGGGAGTTGAAGTCCACACATCTTAAAGTTGCTGAGGTTGAAAATCACTCAGCTATTGTAACAGAATCTTGCAAGCCTGTGTCTTCCCTTCCCTTCCCTCCCTCTTATACCCCAGGAGTCAGCCAGCCTGAGTCTCTTCCTAATGCTCTCCCTGTTTTTGCATGTGTTGTTGTAACCATCTCTGAATAGTTTAATCAAGGTCTTCTCCATGGCTCCCTACACCTAGCCTACACCCAGTGGGAAAAGATAGTGTGGTCGTTACTTGTGTCCACTTCAGGATGGGAATCAGAGCAGGACCCCGTGATCTGCAGCATCATATGATATTGTCACTTTCTGCTGGTATGTCTGTATGTCTATAGCCTACGTAGGAAAGATGGATGTGGGAAATGACTATAAGGTGGAAGAAATGTATTTTTACATTTCTTAAAAAACCTTTCCATGTATGCTTCTTTTTAACAAAAAGCAAAGAAGCAAAGAGAAGCCAGGAACCGTATTTTGAAGTCCACCCTCTCCTTGATGTGCCAAAGTGAAGGATTTTGTTTGGGAGAGCATTTAAATGTTTTCCTGCCCCCTGTTATCTAAAGTAGTAGTGCTGTGTTGCATAAGAGGCTGTGTATGGCACAATCAGTGAATAATACAGCTTACTAATGGGTTTTCAGGAAAGCGTTCCAAGTGAATGAATGGTCAAAGCATCTCTATTAGTCTTCCTGATCTCTTTAATAAAGCTTAGTGGGGAATCATACCAGCAAGATTTGGCAGGAAATAACAGGCTTAAGTGGTGAATGGAGCAGCCATACTGAAACTGTTTTCTTTTAAATTATAAAAGATATTAGTTATGAACATGAGTGTGAACACGGCATTCCCAAATGGTAAAGGGAAGGAGAGATCATTGTGGTGCTTTCTTCTAATCTGAAGTCTTGGCCACCCCTCTTGTGAAAAGACAAGTCAGTTTCCAAGACAGGAATCATTTGAGCAGAATTCCTTTGATGTCAGTTTTTCTAAATCCTTCATATGTGTTGAGATTACAGCTCATGGAATTCTTAGTCAACAAGCCCATGCTCAGGGGTCTGGGAGTTGTAGTCCTACCACATCTGGATTGTACCAGGTTAGGGAAAGCTGAGCTAAGAATAACAGGGTTTAAACCTCATTTGTGTTCTATTCAAAATCTGACTTTGAGCACATGTTTCACTTCTGATTTCTTGTTAATTATTTGATTTCCATTTCTAATAATAACAGTATTTCCCTCAAATGCCAGTGATTTGGGTGGG